CTTTGTGTCCCCACCCTTTTAGTTGCCAGCATGACTCCTTTGTCACTGGGGGCTCTCATCCCAAGCACATCTCCCCAGCTAGTTCTGAGCAAGCCTGTGAGCTACCAGCTGTTTGGGACTGAGGCAGCAGAAGAGTTGGGGTGGGGGAGGCCAAGGTGATTTTTTTTTTTTAACTTAAAAAAAAAACCCAGTTTCAGACTTGCAAAAACATTGCAGGTAGAGTTCCCGTATACTCTTTACCCAGCTTCCCCAAATGTTAATGTTTTACATAACCATAGTACAGTGACGAAAACCAGGACATTAACATTGATACAATACTATTAACCAATCTATTCAAATTTTTGAGTCGGTTATTCAAAATTTAAAAATCGATTATTCAAATTTCACCAGTTATCCCACTAATGCCAGACAAGTTCCTGAGGACTGCTGTGATGAGCCCTGGTTCAAACTCTTCTTTGCTCTGTGAAGTCATGTGATGCTCCTTTCTGTGGCCTCTAATCTTTAAATCTCTCTAATGAACTGCTTCTGTCACCTACTTGAGCGTGTACATGTACATGTGCTCTTTATACACCTCTTTAGGCTTCTCTGGAAGAAGAAGGAAAAATTATGAACAAATAGAAGTGTTGGGCCGTACACTAATTGAATAACCAGCAGTGTTTGTTGGATGAATGAATTTGAGACAACTTTGTAGAAGTTATTTTCCCGCAGTCAAGTCTCTGTTAGTCTGAGGCACAATCTGCATTTGTTACAACTCTTAGCATCACTTCAATGTGCCACGTATAAAACTCATCTCAGATCTTCAGAGTTACCATGAGGATGGTTTGGGAAAATGCCATAGTTATCTTACTTTTTTCTTTTAAATCAAGCTGGGTCCTCTTTCTCCTCTCCCCATCTGCCCCCATCCCTGCTAGATGAGCTTGGGGCAGAGGGCGAAGCTGACCTGCACCCCTGATGTGGCGTATGGAGCCACGGGCCACCCTGGTGTCATCCCTCCCAATGCCACCCTCATCTTTGACGTGGAGCTGCTCAACTTAGAGTGAAGGCAGGAAGGAACTGAAGGTGGCTGGAGATGGCTGCTGCTCACCCTCCTAGCCTGCTCTGCCACTGGGACGGCTCCACCTGCTTGGGGCTCTTGATCAGTGCGCTAACCTCACTGCCCCAAGGCATTATCCATTCTCTCTGCCCAAGTTGCTCTGTATGTGTTCCATCATTGTTCACGCGCATCTTTGCTTGAGGAAACTTCAGTTGCAGATTGAAATGCTTCAGGTTGTGCATTTTGCGTGATGCATGCAGTAGCCATTCCTGATCACAGAACAGATTTCTTGTTCGCACAATCTACACTGCCTTACCTTTACTTAAGCCAGACACACAAGGTGCTCAGACATGAAATGTACATGGTGTACACAGAGGGACTTGAGCCAGTTGCCTTTGCTGTCACTTTCTCTCTCAGAAATTCTGCTGACTTAAACAATGTTCTTTTTGGAAATGATATGAAAAATAAAGGCTCTGTGCTTGACAAATTCCTGTCCATCCTTATTGAAGGTAGAAAGTGCTTTAAGGACCACATAAGTCAGTTGCCCTTGGGAAAACAGTGGAAAGGAGAAGTAGCCAGGAGAGTGATAATAAATACAGTACAGGTTTCCCCCACTATCTGAAAGTAGAAAGTAGAGCATTCCTATGAAGCCTTTTGTAAGCTGAAATGGTATAAAGCGAAGAAGCAATTACCTGAGGGCACATCTTGCTTACGGATGCATGAAATAAATCGAGATAAAAGCACAGATGCTCACAGACACAGTTCAAAGCTATGACAGCTTGATGCCGAGATGCTGAGTATAGTTCTTGGGGAAGGAGCTTGGTGGTGTCACTTTCACTGCTCAGGGTTCATACTGCCTCTATAATGGCTCTGAACGCTATTTTTGCTTTTCTCCTTTTTTCATAAAAGCAAAAATCCTTTCTGGATTTCTTTCGTGCAGCAAAAACAGGTACTCCTGTAGGTCTTTCCTAAAAGTGAATTAGCATGAAGCAAACTTTCGAAAAGCAGTGGATACTTGTAGCTCCGATGTACCTATTGTATTTGCTGGGCCTTGTTCTATTTTTAATTTTTTCTAATTTTAAAATAAAATTACCACCAATCCTCTAAGCAGCCCCACAAGGTAGGTTATGACTTGCCACTCACCTCACAGGCTCAGAATTCCCCTCTGAGTACCTAAAGGAATACATTGTGCTCAAAACACAGTTTAGCAATCAAATGTGGGATTTGAAACTTTAGGTGATCAATCATGAAATCTACATTTGGACTTAGAATAAGAAGGATGAGCTCCCTTCTTGAAAAAGTGCATTTTGTGCACCTAAAGAAATGAGGGTGTGTTAGGCCTCAGAGCCACACACTAACTCACATTAGGAAGTTACTTTTGAAAATAAATGTGTGCTTATTTTCATGTAGATCTGCTCTAACTTTACAGTGGGGAATGACTTCTGAGAAGAATGTATGATTTTGAACTTGTTTCCACATATGCTGCTTAATCTACATTTATTATAACTTACAGGACTTTCCAGTTAGGCTTTACAACCAGCCTGCTTATTGATATGCGTTAGTGTACGTCAGCGGAGCCTGTGGCAATGTAGCTAAGAGATTTTTCTTTTAGTTGGCATGGGTGAGAAAAGCTCTTGGCCATAGTCAGAGTTATTCTGTCAGCGATGTCTTGGAATTGTTTCAAGACTGAGGGAGGGGCAGGTAACAGGTACTGTTAGTTTCCTTCATAGACTCATTGATAACACATCACATGACGATACATGTGATATGGGGACACAACATCTTGATTATTTTATGTATCCCTTTTGTCTCCAAGAAGTCCTGGCTGTATTCCCCTGCTGAGGACTGAGGAGTTAATGAAGATGCAGTGCTTTAAGATGCAGAAAATGAAATGAGAAAGGGGCTGCTTTGCTTTTAATCACCAGTCCCTGTGCTCACCTCTGCAGTGGGACCAGACCAGTCAAAAGGTGCTGCACTCATTCCTTTCTGGGGGGTTTCCTTCAGAATGTCTTGGTTCCTAGCTTTCCTCAATGATACAAATGTCTATAATTTCTCAGAACTCAGCCTGTATAAAAGACAGTCACGTTTTCTGCTGTGACACCAATAGGATAACTAAAAATAGCACCAAGGACCATTTCAGGTGCCCATTATGGAGTCACATAAAAGATCTGTCTAGAGTATTTATAGCCAATGTGGTAATAGGAGGCACTAAGAAGAGGTGGGGGGGGGAAGCAAATACCTACTGGCTAGCACCTGGAGATGATATGATACTAGGCTTCACAGGCCCTGCTTTACTGACACTCTTAAAACTGCACCTTCAATGCCTAGTGCAGAGGACTGATGACTGTAACTATGTCCTCAGCATTTTACTACACACAGACATGGCAGAGCAGAGGCTCAGTATTTGTCCACTGAATTAAAGTTCTTGTAACATAACTGGAACAGGCTAAACAATTTCGAAATTAGAGGGCATTTTTTTAAACTCTTAACTTCAGGTCATGAAATTCAACTAACAGATATATTAATCAAAATGACAGGCCTGCCATAACTTTCAGTAGAAGGAATTTCCCCTTTTATTAATTTAAAACAACTTATACTAGGGGCAAGTCAGTCTGCCATTTATACAAATCACACTATAAGTCTAATTTGTCATCCCCTTACAAAAGTCTTTTAGAAAATTCTTTTTATATTTGTAAATACCTAAAAGCACACTGTGCATTACAAAAATTAGTAAGAAACTCATAAAACAGTCACAAGAAAATTACAGCTGTGGCTCCTTTGTCATCTTCCTGCCCTTATAGAAATGACTCTTTCTACTCTTTAACAGTGCTTTCAAAAAGCACTCAGGCATAATTAATAAATAAGACAATTATTTCTTCATTTTCAATAGTAGGCTTTGAGAAGACAGTACAAAAAGTATAAAATAGCCCATTTTCTTACAGTAATGTTAGTTTTGAAAGCTAAATGCATTTAAAAGTAGAATAGGCTTTTGTCCATTTAAATGATTCAGTGCTTGTACCCTTCAAATTGATTTTGGATTATAGTTATATACAAAACAATTAGTCCATGTTTTTCCATTTAGCCCATGCCTAAACTATAAAAAGAAAATTATAGCTATCTCCTCCAAGCTGCTGAGCTATGATGAATGTGGTAATAACCATACTATTTCCACGCCATGGGAGTCTGTGATTATAAGAATAAACATTAAGTATTTTATGGCAAAGATATACTGTGAGCTAAGGTCCAAAATATACACAGACACTTACTAACTAAAGGGAAAAGTACATAAATACATCTTAGACGTGTAACAACAAATAGCACCACCCAAGCAGCTTGCTCTCACATTTCTAACCATGTGCTGTCATCTGAATGACCATTTCTAGAATAAACCTGTAAGGACAAGGGTACCCATACTGACAAAGGTACGTTGTTAACTGTAAAGCAAGTATTCAAGTGTACTCATGTGGCTAATAACTAGTTGATGTAAAAAAGCAGCTTTTGGACTTCCCCAGCAGTCCACTGGTTAAGACTCTGTGCTTCCAATGCAAGGGGCTCGGGTTTGATCTCTGGTCGGGGAACTAAGATCCCACATGAGGTGCGGCCAAAAAAGTATTTAAAAAAAAAAAGTAAAAAGCAGCTTTTTATGTAAGCACTTTATTCATTCACTCAACATGATAAGCTTTGGATCTGTGAAGTGGAGATACCTACACCTTCACTAAGTTGTTATGGAGATTTCATTATTAATAGACATTCAATAAGTAACAGTACTCTTAACAAGTTCCTTTGATGGCTAAGCACTGTACTGGTCACTGGAGGCATTAAGAATATCAAAAGGTCCCCATCCTCAAGAAACTCAGTCTCTAGGACCACCTACCACCGAACAATTCTTGATATGGTTCAACTGCTGTTTTATTATTTTTTTTCTGGTATAATACAGAAGGAGAAATTTTAAGATAAAACACTGTCATGTTTTACAAAAAGTTACAAGTTTATTAACATAATATATTCTAAAATATATCAAAGTTTCAAGGAGGTCTTTTTGAATCTCAAATAAGAAATCACAACATTCACTATTAGTTAAAAAAAAAAGGGTCATTCATGGGTTTCAAACAGTCCAAATGAAAATGCAGAAAACGTTTACTTTGGTGGATCTGTGTTGATGCCATATTTCTCCTTGAGAAGCTTCAACTGTTCTTCCTTCTTCTTTGTGTCCATCTTCTGAAATGCCTGAAAATGTGGTAAGCACCAAAGTTAACAGTTACCAATCTACAGTCAAATGAATTTCACCAATAGCAGTAGCTAGAAAAGAACTCAGGGTACACATCTCCCCTAGTGCTGGTACAGCTCTCTACTAACTCTTACATGGAGTCCCCATGTGATGAGAACCATGGCCATACTTACCCTGTTGGCATTATAGTACAAAACCACGAGGTATCTGTTGCAAACATTGAATCCTGACAGGTGATCACACGCATTCTTGGCATCAAAGATGTCTTCATAGACCACATAAGCTGTTCCTCTAGTTTCAGGTGTGTTCCCCCTACCGAGTTAAATTGGACTTAATTAAAATACACATTTACCTGAAAACCATTAAAGGAAATAGATACTATGGACAGGTATGCTGGATAAGCCTATAATTTCTCAAAACATGTAACTTTTGTTTTTATTTTAAGTAAAATAGCTCAGGTTAAACTGTTATATCAAGAATACTAATATGGCTACTAAAGCAATAGCAGCAAAGAACTAGCTTGAAACTTTCAGTTTTCATGTTCACTGCTCTAGTCTTTCCTACTTCTCATACTAAGAATCAATTTTCAGTTTTACACTGGAAAGTATGCTACCTTAGGAATGATAGCTGTGATTAGTCAGCAGTGTCTAGAATGGGGTTTTTCTTACTATGCATTTATGCAACAGAACCAATACTTTAGTTATTTACCACACTAGTCCCTTGTTTCTAAAGATTCTGATTTTCTCCCTCACTCTAATTTTAGTTCCAGTCCTTAAAAATAAGACAACCTCGGGATCTTCCTGGTGGTCCAGTGGTTAAAACTCCACGCTTCCAGTGCAGAGGGCACGGGTTCGATCCCTAGTCAGGGAACTAAGACACATACCACACAGTGCGGCCAAAACCACCCCTCCCAACAAACAAAAAAACCCACAAAAAATCTCCATCAATGTAGGGAACAGAAGTTTCTTGGTAATATTTTACTAAAGTTTACCAAATCCATAAAAATAAAACCATTTTGTGTCTGTAGAAGGAGGTGGGGTTGGAAGGAAGCCCCTACCAGGAAGATAGCAAAATTATAAATGATACACAGGAAAACAGCAACCACCATCCTTTATGGCCAGGAAAGGATGTCCTCCAATGTAAAGAGCCAATGTAGTTTCTTCCACGTTTCTTAGAAGATTCATTGCTTGCTTGCTTATGTATTTATTTATTTGGCTGCACCACATGGCATGCAGCATCTTAGTTCCCCAACCAGGAATTGAACCTGTGCCCCCTGCAGTGGAAGCTCGGAGTCCTAATCACTGGACCACCAGGGAATTCCCCCAAGATTCATTGCCCTTTTAAAACAAGAGTCAACTCCCAACTTTCACATATTCATTTTTAATAATATCTGCACTTTTATGCATTACACAGCCCTGTGTAGCTGGAGAAAAGGGCTGGGTCTCTGGAGGGATTGGGTTTGAAGTGTGCTTGTTGGTGGGGTTACCTGTGAGCCAGAGCAGAATGCTGGAAGGTGGCTGGAAGTGGAAAGCGGAAGCTGGATCTCACTCATGGATATGGAGCGGCTTCCTGTGTAGGTGTTCCTTGCCACCTCCTCTCCTCACCTCACCAGCTTCCGTTAGGGGAGGAGCTAGGGAAGTGTGAGGAGCAACAAACTGCAGGTGGCAGATGGCCATGTGCTTGTGAGTGGGGACAGCTGGCAGAGGTCCCATTCAGCTTATGCTCCAGTAAGCTAAAGATGGATCCCCTTTCCTCCATCTGTGTTCTATCTACCCAATGCAACTGCAGAATAAGGTTTATTAACTGCCACAGTCCCTGCAGAGGTTCAAGGAAAGGCAGTGGGCCCCATGGGAAGGGGAGGCACCTGCCTAGATCTGATCTAGGACGAGACTACAGTCTTGGGCCCTGGTCAGAGCTTGTGCTTCCTGTAAAAGGGGATGGGATAGGTATAGGGCGCCGGGTGGTTGGAGGGTGCCAGTGTCATCAAACACTCTCACTTTGTCATGGGCCTGATGAAAACTTTTATAATATTCTTTACTCGCTGCAAATAATCTAACAACTTTTGGACTTCTGACTTTTAACCATTTTCTAGAATGCTTTAGGTATGAAAATTGGGACTACCCAAAGGAAAAAAACACTGTCCCAAAGATTTTCCCAAAAAGTCTACTAATTTTTCCTTCAGAATAAAACCATAAAAAACTCAACAACAATTTAAGTTCCTTAAGGGCAAACATGACCTTATATTTTATTTTACTCCCACAGTGCTATGCATTCAGCAAGTGCTAATAAGCATTTGAAGGGTGGAGATCTACTTTCTCCTATCAGTTCTCTCACACATCTTTTCTCCAGGAAGCTAACAAAACAAAAGCATCTCTCTTCCTTCCTCTTACATCTTCTTAGGAAGTAGAATAGGGAGAGGCGCTAATTCCATTTTAAAGACTCTCCATCTCAATTTAAAAAAGCGGTACTGATGAACCTAGTGGCAGGGCAGGAATAAAGATGCAGACGTAGAGAACAGACTTGAGGGCACGGGGGGCTGGGGTGGGGTGGGGTGGGGGAACTGGGATGAAGTGAGAGAGTAGCATGGACATATATACACTACCAAATGTAAAATGGATGGCTAGTGGGAAGCTGCTGCATAGCACAGGGAGATCAGCTTGGTGCTCTGTGACGACCTAGAGGGATGGGATAGGGAGGGTGGAAGGGAGGCTCAAGAGGGAGGGCAGGGCTTCCCTGGTGGCGCAGTGGTTGGGAGTCCGCCTGCCAATGCGGGGGACACGGGTTCGTGCCCCAGTCTGGGGGGATCCCGCACGCCGCGGAGCGGCTGGGCCTATGAGCCATGGCCGCTGAGCCTGTGTGTCTGGAGCCTGTGCTCCGCAACGGGAGAGGTCACAGTAGTGAGAGGCATGTGTACCGAAAAAAAAAAAAAAAAAGAGGGAGGGGATATGGGGATATATGTATACATATAGCTGATTCATTTTATTGTACAGCAGAAACTAGCACAACATTGTAAAGCATTTATACTGCAATGAAGATGTAAAAAAAAAAAAAAGACTCTCCATCTCAAGCGCCCCAGCCCCTAATTATCAACCTAATATCTTGATCTCCACATTGTAATTTTAATTAAAAACATGTACTTGCTACCTACTATATGTTAAGCACTGAGTCAACATTATTTTCTTGATTGGTGGTAAAAGCTTAAAGTGAAAATAAGAAAACCTAATTGTGTAACTTAACCTCTCTGAGCTTCAGCTGCTTCATGTGTCAAATAGTGACATCAGGCTCCATCACCTGTCATACCTTACTCATGGCTTTAATAATCAAAATCAAAGCACCGGGAGTCTACTATATGCCAGTTAAGGTGACCAATTATCCTACATGTGAGGAAAAAGCTGGGCAACTTGTCTAGGGTCACATGGCTGGTAAAAGGGCCTGCAGTAGAATCTCGTCTCCTGAGAATCTCGTCTCCTGAGTTTCTTCTGTACACTATTCTTGTATGTCTAGAACAGGAGTTCTCAACCTAGAGTCCATGTACCCACTGAAATCACTTGCAAAACGTTGTGTGTATTCTGTAGAAAGGGTCAAAAGCTTTTATCAAATATGCAAAGAGAGTTCCTAAAAAGGACAGCTGCTCTATAACACTTCATTTTCATTCCTGTTTGAGTACCAATGATGATATATTTCTAGCTCTTGGTTTACTTTCTGGAGGGATAGTGATCATTGTAAAAGAGAGTCCTCAAGATCTCAGAGTTCTAAAAGCCATGGAGGAACTCTCAGGTCATAAAAGAAAATGTATTAAGAAAGGGATATTCCAATTAAAAATAAAAAGCTTAGAAATCCTCTTAGATGGACTCAGGTAATTGGCTTATGTATACTAGTTAAAATGACAGCAGCTGTGGTACTGTGTAGGGATTCAATTTAGAATCAGAAGATTTTATCACTAAATAGCTGTGTGAAGCTAGAAAGGTACTTTACTCTCTAAGCCTTAGTCTCATCTGTGAAAGAGTCACTCTCACCTCCACACAGGGCTGTAGTGTTGGTGATGCAAACAAAAGCACCTATTACAACTGGCATATAGCAGATGTTAAACATCATTTGAAGGTATGAACCCCAATCTTTAAATTAAAACACGGATTTATGTTATAATTATTTTGCCCTACACTTTTAAATCTTCAATAGAAAGCTATAGTTGAAAAAAAAAGCATTTTTCTGTTACTTTTATATCCCTTTGCACAGCTTATTCAGAAATTCTGGAATCAGTAAAGGAGATGGTGAAGAGTGTTGAGAGAGTTAGAGTTAATGCATATAAAAACCACAGTAGAGTACTTCTTAACTAATAGTACGTATGTAATAAATGTTGGTTCTTTCTCTTCCCATCCATTCCCCTCAAACCACTCATTACTACTTCATGCTCTCTATAATTTCACAACTACCATTCTTGGCTCTCACTGAGCTGGATCATGAGGGTCTCTGTAGGTACTTTTCCCTTGGTCTCTATGCTCTTGGTTAGGCCCTCTGTCAGCTATAATTCTGAGATTATAAATTACGCAATCATTTTCTTTCTTTTTCAATCATTTTCTTTTAAACGACATTTCAAAAGTCTCAGTAAGACTCACACTCTGATTTGACGAATAGGTCCATATTTCCCAAATATATCATACATTTCTTCAGCCGTGATTTTGTAGGGCAAATTTCTTATATACAAAATTCGATTTACTTCAGGTGGAAGTCGAATCTAAAATGAAAAATAATGTGTTGTTACTATAATCAGAGGCAGGAGTGCTATCATTTTTTAAAAAATTCTCATAATAAATTCTAATAAAGATGATGCATAATTTTTATAAGCCAAGAATAAGAATTATAATCTGATATTACTGAAAATGGCACGCTCTTTGGAAAAGCATTGGTTTTAGGGAGGACTATTAGTAGGAACTAATAAGGGGCTACTACAAAACCCAGGTTTTCAGTCACTACAGGTAAACAAAGATCTCCAACCTCATTTAAAAGTCCTCAATGCCACAGACATGTGTGGGACAGAACAAGGGAACTGTTCCTGTTTGCTGGATAATAAAACTCCCACTGATGACCATTCTGGGGTCTTCTCAGGAACTTGTTCTATCAATGATCTCTTTCTTTTGAATTTACAGCCTTTCCCTCACCATTGGCTTCTTTTATTACTCACGTGAGCAGCTGCTTATGTACTCCCAACTGTTACACAAAACAAAACACTTATTTGGATCCCTCTTCATTCACTCAAATGTTTAATGAGTGCCTTCATTATATATACACCAGGCAAGGTATTAGGATTACAGAGTGAAGGAAAAAAGACAAGTTTTCTGCCTTTCCTGAATTTATCAGCCCTCTATTTGCTATCCTATCTTGTTCTTTTTTCTTTTCTCTCAGTCAAGCATATGAAAAGAGGCAGGTTATACTCACTGCTTCTTTAGTTCATAACACTCATCAGCCTACCACAAACTAGCTCCTACTCCAGCACGCTGATGAAAAATGCTTTTATGCACTAAGACCTTTCACTTGCAGTGTTCTTTTTTTTTTTTTGCATTAAAAAAAAATTTGGGGTGGGGGCTTCCCTGGTGGCACAGTGGTTGAGAGTCCGCCTGCCAATGCAGGGGACACGGG